TTTTTATATAGAGAGAAAAAAACTAACAACACTAGAATTTTGGTTTTTTTCTTTTTATTTTATTGATTCATAACAATAACAACAAGAACAAGAAACAAGAACATCATTATAATAACAAACATTCAAAACTTTGGTTCAGTTCTTTTTGTATGGGAAAAGGTCTCCTCATGTACAAATAGTCTGTTTCACAACGGTTACCACGGGCATTGAATCCTTTTACGATCACTTCTTTCAAATAATCTTTAACACAATCTCCAGCTTTTACCATCCATTTCCCTTGAAACAAACTGCTTTTGGGTCCCTCTCTTTGGTGAGGCAAGACGTAATTGATTTTCCATTTGAATTCCCTATACTTGGGCTGTCTGGGTCCTAATAAGACCATGTGTTTGCTTCTTTGGCGGTCCGGTAACTTGAATCTCTTATACAGGTAGATTTCATTGAGACCTGTTTGTCCTGGATTCTGATCAAAGAAATCTTGAATACATGTCTCTTTGTTTTTCATCCATTCTCCCTTTAAACTAGTCCCTTCAGGTTCTACTATTTTCCAACGATACTCTGAGCTTAAAAATTCCATGACGTGTGTGCTCTGTCCCTCACTCAGATCAGAACTGATCCTCTTAGGGATATGGTGTCTCCTTTTTATATAGAGGGATGTATCTATTTTTAGATTCCGGGACTTGGTGAATTCGTCTTCTTGACCGTAGGGGTATGATGTATCATGGTAGGACTAGGCATGATGTAACCCACCGAAGAACTCACACACACCATCCAATATTCTCGATTAGAATCGTGTAACGCTAACATGACCACACTGGTGATGATGAGGGAAATACAAATGAATAATTGGGCAAAATACACAATTTCTTCTCGAGGAATATTCTCTCCACAAAATTTCCAATGAGGTGTTATTGAATGAGATCCGTTTGGGGAATCCATGAATCGAAACTAGGGGGATATCCTCTTCACCGGACTTTGACTTCTTGAATGATTTTTTTCCCGACTCGTCGCTTTTTATACGCCAAGATTTCCTCTACTTCGTACACGTCGTCTTTTTTAATGATCTGTTGTAATTCTTTCTCGTAAAATGTCCCTTCTAATTCCTCCTGGTTGTAATCTTGTACTCGATACACGTAAGGATACCGACCGGGGACTCGTTGAGCAATGGTAAATATTTCCGTGGTCCAGTTCGGTAAATATCCTTTTTCAAAAGTGCGTTTGGCTTAACTGATGCGCACTTTATCTCATGTTTTAAACTTGGGGGGTGTTTTGGTTTTAGGTGATGATTCTTCCCCATATAAAGTTTTCCAGATTTTTAACACATTCGAGGGATTCACTTGAGCTGGAGCTCTTTGGATACTGCGATGATACGTATGATTGTAAGCATACACTAAATCCGGTAAGACCTCTAAATACCGTCTGGTCTTATTCCGAGTGAAATACCGCCACATGCGTGCTTTGAGGGTTCTTTGAAATCGTTCCACGATACTGGCTTTGGTGTCCGTATTGCGAGTGGTAAAGAAATGAATGGATTTAAATGCCTGTAAGAATTCTCGATTGGTAAATTCTTTACCTTGATCCGATTGAATGCGGACGGGACGTCGATCGTCTTGTCGGAAAATCTCTTGTAATCCTCGAATCATTTCTTTTCCCGTTTTCTGTTTTAAAGGCACCACCCAAGCATATTTAGATAAGACGTCAATGGCACACAATAAAAAAGTATAACCGTCATTATGTTTCTTTAAACTGGACACATCGGCTAAATCTAATTGCCATTGTTCGTCCATATCCGTCACTCTGGTCTGTTGTCTCCGGAATTTTCGATGAATGGGTTTATGTAAGGTATAAGTATCTTGCTCTTTTAACCATTCTCGTATGGTGTTTAAGGAAATCTTATGTCCAAGACTTTTAACCTGACGATACAAAGTCTGTATGCCTCCATACCCTCTCTTGGGATCGTAATAAATCTCTGTTAAAATGTCCCCCACTTCCTTCTTCTTCTTCTTCTTCATGTCTTAGGCAAAGGAAGCCAATTTTCCTCGATTTGTTGTAATCTCTTTTGAAATGGATCTGTTCTGGCTTTCTTTTTCTTCTGGAGGGCCTCCTCTAACCTTAAAATAGGGGAAGGCTTGGATTTTATAGATCGTCTAATAGGGGTCAAAAAAGAGGAAGCATCATGAAATCCGCTCTCTTCCTCTTCGTCGTCCTCGTCACTCAAAACCCCTTTAGGAGTACTGATTTTTCCTGGTTTCTGCATGGCTTTTATAAGGTCTCGATTTTGCAAGTAAACCATGGGAGTACGGGTCTCTTTTAAAGCTTGAGCAAATTCTTCTATTCCTTTAGGCACCGGTTGACTTTTGAGAGGTTTAGATCTCATACTATCAGCCATTAAATCCACAATGTTAGAATCGGGCACTTTCTGACCTCGATAACTGATTTCTCCGTCTTTATCCCAAGTCAAGACTTTGGTTTTCTTTAAATGATTTAATAATAATTCAGCTTTTCTTTGCATGGGTTTATTCACGCTTTGAATGATTTGTTGATCGATCTCGGGATCTGGAGCTGCTGCTGCTACTGCTGGGGCTACGGGTGCTGCTGGGGCTACGGGTGCAGAGGTTTTTCTCCCTGGCTCCCTCGCTTGTTGTAAATAATTCCTATACCGATGAAGTTCTTGACCGTATAAAGCCACTTTTTCTTCTGGAGTTAAATCATCACGTCTGGTAATCTGGTCCAATTCTTGACCTATACTCAGCGTAGATTGAAATTCCGGAGGTTTGGGAAGTTTTCCTTTGAGTTCATTCAATAGAACTTCAGGTACTAACACCATTTTACGACTCATTTTAGAAGGTTCAACAGTAAAGGAGCGGCTGCTGCGAATAAAAAAGGAAAAATACCTCCTTTTTGTTGTACTAATAAAGCTCTTCGTCTCTGGATGGATTGAGGTTGAACCAGTCTCCTTAAGATGTGTTTCTTAGGAGCTAGTTTTCGTTTCTGAGCCGAATGGAGAGGTAACATTCCTTTTAATAGGTTGTAGACGATCTCACAAATTTTCAGAATACAGTCTCCAGAACAATGTTTTAAAATTCCTGTTTTTAAGGACGAGGAATAGTGAGGATCCGATAACACTCTTAAAAGAGGAGCATGCGCTTTTAATCGCGTACAACATCCCTTTTTCTTCTTGGCCATCTTTGAAAACAATGAAGAGAAGTCTCTCATGTCACTCCCTTTTATAGTCTTAAGGAGGGGCATACCCTCCGTGTTTGTCACTCTCGTGTTTATCTCTATTTTTCTCCCTGACATAAATTTTTCCACATTGTCGGCATTTATATCTCAGACCTTTAGGAAGTTGAGGGGTGGAGGCTGTCAAGGGTTGAAAACGTGTGATTTTAGGGACATGAATGGGAACTTTAATTCCAGGGGAGGGAATGCCCACATTCACTCGAGGAAACACTTCTAAATCGCTAGCTCTTTGACTCCCTATGGGTCCCATAGTACGATCCATTCTCAGTTCTGCTTGTTTCTTGAGTAACTCTCCTTTGGTCTTTTGTCTTTGTTCCTTATAATACTGATTGATTTCGTTTTTTAGACTTTCGGGCATGGCTTTACGTTGAGCTAGAGTTTGAGGGGTCCTTTTTACCGCCCCTGTTTTCTTGGGAGCTGTTTTCTTCTTAGGAGGGCTTTTCTCTTCTTAGGAGGGGCTTTTCTCTTCTTTTTTCTACTCTTTTGAGCTGCTCCTCCGACACGGACCATCCAATCTGGAAACACTCTTTGTTTCTTATTATCGACTCTTACCACTACACTCTTTAAACGACGAACCCGTCGCTTTTTAGGACTATTCCATTTGAATAAATGACGAATGATGACTCCACCTAGAAATCCAGCTCCTCCGTGTTTTAAAATAGCCGTTTTCCTTTCTTCGTCACTAGCCGATTGATCGACAATGATCTTTAAATCTTGACGATGAAGATCGATAAACTTTTGAGTCAGTTTATTGATAGGTAAGACCCCTTTCATTAAATTGCGAGCTCCCATGGCAAACCAATTCAATAAGGCTTTACGCCCTAATTCGATTAAATGGGCTCGTTCGGTGGGATATCGTTCCCGCTGTAAACGTCGTAAGGTTCTCACTAATTTACTCTTGGCTGATGGAGCCATGATGAGAGTGGAATGACTCAGAAGAGTGGGAAACACTTTTATTTATACTCTTGAGGCATGTGTATAGTCAACAATTCAAACATTCGACTTCTTAATCGGTATTCGTCTGGGGTCTGGGGACTCAAATCCACGAGAAGATAACCGTGAGGTACCTGGGTGGCTTCTTGATAAGCAGACACCAAATGAGGCAAAGCTAGCTGACGAATCAATACACTGATCTGAGATTTGTCTCTGGGATTTTTGAATAAGACTAAATAATGAGCATTCAAACTAATGGTGCGATGAGAGGCAGCTCGATCAAATAAATTCTGAGTGATGTAAATCACACTGGTATTCCGATGATGAGCTTTACGGGTAAACCAATCCACAATCGATTCGATGGCTTTTCCTCCCATCATGTCGTCAAAAATGAGTAAATGGGGCACACTCAAATTGGCTACTAATTTCTCGTCGTCTTCTGGAATATTTCGAATGAAAGATACCTTCTCTTTTAAAGAAGTGTAAGCGGGTTGCCATTCCCGATAACACCAGACGATCTTTTCGGGCCTGGGGGTGATCCAGTCTAGATTGTTCACTAATGTCTTGACGAATTCTGTTTTGCCCGATTTCGAGGGTCCAGCAACTACCATGGTAAATTCGTGTTTCAATTGAAAAGAAGGGAGGGGTGTCTCCTCGGAATACATGTTGATCAATGAAAGAAAAGATGGGTTCAGGGTCTCATTTATAGTGAACACAGAAATCTTTTTCATTTTTTGAAAAATAAGAATATCTATTTTATAGAGAAGAAACAACACATAAAAACAATTCAATTTTCTTATTTGTAACAAACAAACAAACAAACAAACATATCAATAACCATAAGGTAGAGTGTTATAATTCTCTACAATTTGTCTCTTGTCATATACAATTCTAACTGTTTTCTCTGAAGGTTTGTTCACCACCTCATAATCACGGGTCCTCTTGATTTTCCTGGGATAGGGGACTTTTACTTCCTCTATTTCTCCCTTGAGCATTTTTTCTAAAGTCTCTGGGCACACCAACTGAGAGGTTCGATGGTTGAGAGTGACTCCTTTGCATTTATGAACCTCGGTCCTTTTATCCGTCCGGAAACCATGATTTTTAGGACCTGCCGACATGAATTTAGTGATGTGATCCCCGTCTAATTCGTCGGTCCATTCTCCTAAACTATTGCCCAAAGTAGGATTAAAAGCTCCTTCCTTATGTTGGTAAATGATACTGTCCGTATCGAAATAAAGGCCCCGTTCTTCTAAAGGTCGTAAAGTCTCGTAGAGATGTAAGCGAGCATAGGCGGTGGTAAAACAAGCCAGGATCACGTTTCCAAAGGGACATTCTTCGACGAATTCCTGTTTGTCTTGAAAATTCACTAGAATCTTGTCTTCAATGGAATCTTCTTTATTGACTAAGAGTCGCACACCCTTGATGTCGAGCGTCGAATTTTGTAAGAGTTGATGTAATTCCTCTACTTCGTCCAAGTATCTGACTTTGGGTAATAACAACCGTTGAGCAAATTTTCCCCACAGACAATTTAAAAAGAGTTTAGCAATGGTTCTTAACACTGGATTCTTCTTGATACTGAGAATGTCCATCATGAATCCTTCTTTGTCGTAGATTTGTCGAATGTAATCTTGTTCTTGTTCTGAGGTCTTACACTCGGGGGGAAATCCGGACGCTTCCTGTTTGATCTTGAGGAAGGTATCGATGTAGTCTTTAAATAAGTCTTGACTGCTTTCTTTGAAATCCCACACTTCGTAAGTTTGCTCTAAGGTATACCCCATGTCTAGGGCTTTATGTAATTCGGTCGTCACCCAAGTACCCGTGAGACTACGTTCCCGGTCGGTGTGTTGACATGGATGTTGACAAGTAGAGTCTTGTTGTTGGGCACAGGTGCGACATAAGGGAAATAATAACTTACCTCCCGTCCGATAAGGTAATACGGGGTGAAAGAGGCGTCGGGGTGGTAAGACCCGACAGTGAATGAGACCGAAATAACTTCTCACGTCCTGGAAGTTGTCTGTGATGATCTCGGGATGACCTAGGGGAAAAGGTCTGTGTTTCAACACGTAAGGGTATAAGGAACACACGTCCACGTATCTCATGTCCCCTTCTTCACAATATAATTTAGTGGCATTGGTCCGTCCTCCGTACAGGGCTTCTCGAGGTTTCAAAGGATCCAGAATGTCTAGATCTCGTACAAATTGCCGATCGGGACTTCGCCTCCGTTTCTGGCATGTCGTATGTGACATCCATTCTGATGACTCATCCAGGTGAGCCACCGACAGGCTTTGGCCGAATATTGGCGTGCCGGTTCATACCCGAGGTTCGGAATGATGGCAATGCTGTCTTTAGGCATGAAATTTCGACGGTAGGCTAAATTAGCAGCACTGGCAAACGTGATGGATTCCTGGAAAGGGTCCACGTTGACCAACTTCTTGAGGGTGCTTCTAAACCGTGCACAGTATCGTCTTAAAATGTCGACGTCCGAGGTACAATACCCTACAAACTCTTTCTGGAAATCAAACACTTTTCCCCTCTGTTGGTCGTACCATTCGTAAAAAGCTTGTCGTCCACTGGTTGTCATTTCGTCCGGATTGTAGAAAGCTGCCGGTGGATAAGGTCCCACGTAATTCTGGTTCTGTTCTGTATTAAAAAAGTGGGGTAAATAATAACCTTTCTTCATTTCGTCGAATCCGAAAGGGGAGGGCATCTGGGCCAAAGGAAAGGTTAAGAAAATATACGAGTCGATGAATTTGAGTCCACATATTTCCATGGACAAGATCTTACTCCCGTTCATGATCACGTTAGGTTTCAGGGGAGAAGAATGCACTATGCAATTCAAAATGAATTGTCCGTCGTATCCTTTGAAGTTATGGGCGATGACGATGGCCTGGTCGTGTACTAAAGTGGAATTCTTAGTACCTGTAGTGGGTTGAAATAACGAGTCCATGAACTTCTTTAAGGTGTCTGGGCCTTGAAATAGGTGCTGACGGGGTACCATGTGATGACAATGAGGACAAGGTTGGTCTATGGGTAAGTCATCGCAATGTTGACAGACACGATGTGCCACACACAGATTAGGAACGTGAATGCCCGATTCCTGAGTGCATTCGAAATCGAAATAGATGTAAAACTGTAAGGTCCCTTTCCCCTTCTTCTTCTTCTGGGGCTTCAGTTGAACGTAGCACCGATGATCGGCATCGACGATTTTCTTACAGATCTTACACTGTTTCTGTTCTCCGCATTTGTGATGAGGCAATAAAATCTTAGGTATCCAGGACTGACACTTCTGGCATAGCCCCATTAAATTGCAGACAGTAGTGGTGGTCTTCTTACTATGGGGTTTTAAATGATCTTCGTAGCAGGTCCTGTTCTTAAACATTCCATGGCATTCCTGGCATTTAATTTTGATCCCTTCATCGGGACATTGAGGGTGTGGTCCTAAACAATTGGTACAGCGATGAGGGCATTTGGAGCGATGGTCTGTGACATTCCTGTACCCCACGTCGCAATGATCACAGTAATAGGGGTTCCCCGTTACTCCCGCCATGGATATGATGGCATCGCAATGACGGTTGTCTTACAAAATGTTCAAACAAGTTCCATCTCCCCAGCCTTTGAAGATGCGCTCTAAACAGAGTTTAGTGGAAGTAGATTTGAACTGAAATATTTTCAGACGATACTGAGGAGCTAATACCTGTTGTAATTTTATCCACTCTGCATTTCCACAAGCTTGAGTGATATCACATCCGGCCTGTTCCATGAGAGCTATGGCTTCTCGTTTCTGGTCTAAGTATTGATCTCCTTTCCGCATACGTGACAATCGTTTTTCCCATTCTGGGTCTGGATGTTCGGGTTTCTGACTGTGTAATCGAGTGACGACGATGGCTCTAGCCAAACAAAATTCATCACGGGGATTGACGATCCGAACGATTGCTCGTTTATTTTTCTTGAAAGTTTCTTTATCCAGTTGTAGATGTTTGGTTCTGTCTCCACCACTCCCCTGGGGATTCCCGATGTGTAACAGATCGAATTCCGTGGAGCCGTCGCCGATTTTGTACTCCTTTTTGGATTGTTGCACACGCTGTATTTCTTTAAAAATGACGTCTTCGTTTAATTCTTTACATTGCATAAACTCGTAAGAGATTGTCTGAATCCAAAGATGGGTGACTTATGTTCAGGCGAAGGTAATCGTTAGGATCACACTCCATTTTCGATTTGAAGTCTTGTAACATGTTTTTGAATAACTGCCGAAGGAAAGCTGTGTTTTCTTCTTCTTCTGGAAATTCATCGAAATGAACGACATATCTATTTTCATGCGCTTTAAATTTTGGAGAGGTCCTTTTTTCAGCTAGTCTCATGTGATAATACTCCGAAATGGGTTTAGGTGGTCTCTCTCGGTACTTTTTCGTTTCAATATTCGTCGAGCCTGTACCTGTTTTTCTCTAGTAGAATCCATGCCTATCAGGTGATGGCTCTGAGGGTAAAATGAATCCAAAGGCGGAGAAAACCGTATTTCTTTACAGTGGATGACGTCACAATACACAGGTAAGCATATATTTTTTTTTGCACACGGCCCTAAACAAACTTGAATCGCTGCCAAGTATTTACCTGTATAGTCAGCATATTTTTTGCACACGGTCCCCTGACTTGAATCGCTGCCAAATTTACCTGTATAGTCAGCATAACAAAACGTAGTACCAACGTACCAATGTAAAAAAACACAATGTAAACACGCCCCTGTATTTAGGGGACTATATGTAACTGAATTGACCCCCACCTATCCCCCACCCCCAAGGATTGTACTGAGTTTGACCCCGTCTATCCCCCAGGGGATGCATTCAGTTGACCCGGTCATCCAGCCTGCTTCCGGCTAGGACATTTCTGGCTAGCCCACTTCCGCTTCCGCTAGGGCCCACTTCCGCTTCCACTTCGGGAACCCACTTCCGCCTACCCCGACTTCCGCTTCCGGCTAGCCCACTTCCGTCCACTTCCGGTTATGACGTCACTTCCGCCCTATCTGGACCCTTTATACTACTAATAAAGCATAGAATAATGTTTTTTAATTCTGCATCGTGACCATTACAATGATCTCCAATAAATTCTCTTCGGCGCAGACATCAGAGAAAGTTCATCTTATACCGATAAATGAACAAAAGCCACCATGGCAACTCAGATCAAGTTAAATTCTATAAAATGATAGAGATTATGCAGGATTCGACACTAACATTTTTAGGCGTTGGTCCGGCCGGATTTGTGCTTCTTTACTTTTACTAGTCCGCGGGCAATTTTATGAGTCTGTCAAAAATATGAATAAATAAATAGAATTAATTTACATGAAATGTTTTATACCAAAATTAGTTAAAATCGCGGGATCAGGAACTACACTCAAATTCCCGATCTCATTCGTTATTCTCTATAAATGATTACATAATCCAAATGTCCGACATTTTTTTTTATGTATCACACTAAATCATGATCGTAAAAATGTTTAATTTCATACTAATGAGTCCTAAAATTAAGCGCCGAATTGACTCAGAGTTACATAACTTCCCGTTTTCCATTGAAAGTTGTCGAGAACATCGGTAATGTTTCCCCTCCACCCCCACCCCCCCCCCCCACCCAGAAAACTTTATTAGTCCATTCGGACTAATTAGCCACAAATTTTATTGGTCCGAATGAAAATGTATTAGTCTGAGACTAACGTTAATGTCGAACCCTGTTATGATGAATAAAAGGAAGTTAGACTTTGTGTTAGATTGTTTTTAAATATTATTAAATAACAGTTTTCATTTGTGCATTTCGAGGCGATGCATGATGGGGGGGGGGGGGGAGGCATACTGCCTCTATATTCAATTTAATTTCTAAGTTTGAGCATCCATTTGAATAGTGTTATTAGGAAAGAAAGGAAAAGCTTCCAAAATGTAATGAACGCCACATAAAACAATTTGAAATGGAAATTCAAAATAGGTTTATATACATCAGTGCAGTACGTATACATGTACACAAAATGACTTTGATGATGTCTACCATTATAGGAAAACTATAGATTAAAAAACTGGAACCCATCCCCCTCTCTCCTTTCATTGGGGGGGGGGTGTTGACCCAGTCTATAAATCAGCACAGTTCCCTCAGCTATCGCATTTCCACTGTGGTCTCACATGTGGGCGCGGTACACGGGCACAAGCGTCACATACTTGCACCTCTATCATCATGTAAATTATAAGAATTTTCTGTCTAACGGTGGTCTTCTAGCTGATGTTTTCATAACTTCCATCGTTAGAGTGAAGAGAAATTGATCTTTTTTTCGCTATTTTGGGACCTTTGTGGCAAGTGGATTGTTGTGTAAATTCCGACCCGTACAAGTCTTATGCAAGGTATTGAATACTGATCGAGGGAGTCTTGCATCAGGTATCCAGAGGAATACACAATTTAAATCTTCGGCTTGCAATCATTATGGCGATTGAGGGAATAAATGTACTTATCATCTTTTAGAAGCAAAGAAACATTTTCATAGTATCATTTAAAAACTTACAAACATCCCATCTAGAAGCTGAACAGTCTATGTCATAAATTTTCGTCGAGAACGACGATGTGCAAATCTGTTTCCCAGAATTCCAATTAACGCAAGCGCACTTGCAGTTTCATCCTAACGTAACTAGTCAGCCCGGGGGCTGACTAATGATTAAATGTGATTATGAGATCTTATATTAGAATTTAATTAAGTTTTCCCCTTTTCATGGAATAAAAAGAGGGGCTTCTAAATATTTTTGCCGATATGTTGTGTAGGCCTAGTAACAGTGGGACGGACAACTTCGGAATGGACATTTTTCCGAACTTGCACACGCTTTTCCTTTAAAGCTAGCCTCTTGGAATTTTTTTTAAATGGTGGGGTTTTTCTACCTAAATGAATTTTTGAAATAAAAAATGCAACATTTTCTGCTAGTTTTTGAGATATTTAGTGTCAAAAATAAAAATCCCATGGGGAAACATGTACTTAAAATTACCCCATGAAAAACCGCACAAAAACCCCATGGGGTTCAAAATTACCCCCATTGGGTTTTTATTCCCATAAAAATCAATGTGGGGTTTTTAAACCCAT